GGATAAGATCTTTGGACAGAAGATGCTGGACTATAATCCACTCACCTAAAGCAGTCCCTCAATTACTTGTCAGTTACCGAGACAACATTATGATGTCAGAAAATTTGCTGCAGTCTTCCCAAAATGTACGGGATAAGGTTTGCAATACCGGGCAAACTCCAACACGACAAAAGGTATGCTTCTTACCTTCACTAAAAATCAGTTGTTATTACATTTGTTGCTGTTATTGTCTGAGTGAAGAAGTCCAACACTAACAGCTACCCAATGTCCACAGGGAAGAAATGCACATCAATATATAAACCTATCTGAGCAATTAATCTTGCCAACAACCAAAAACACCCCCATGTTCTCTGATCTTATAAATGCCAGTAGAAACAAACACCCCATCCCCCTGGAGGGAACCTCATTTCTCAAAACCAGAAAGCTTTTTGGCAGTAATGCAAGTATGGTGTTTCTAGAAATGCAATGGCTTCACCTCTCAAATGCACCCAGTCATCACCTGAAATATTTCTGCTGTATGGGGTCACACACCAGAAACAATAAGAAAATGTGCTGACTTCTGCAATAGTTGGAACCCTTAACATGATCAAATAATGTAATACAGTGTATTTTTTCACTGTTGCTCTTTTGCTTTTCAACCCCAAATTCCCTTGAAGTGGCAGAAAGCAGTATGAATCAGACCAACACAGTACAGACTGCTTTATAAAAACCCAAAACAATGGTGAAGGTAGAAATCATCTGAGTCACTGCACACGTATTTTGCTTACAAACGAAACACCACCTTGCAGAGGTAGAGAAAGGAAGCTGAGAATACCCAGCCACCTCTAACACGTACACATGAACTGCACACCTAAACTAGGTAAATAGTTGTTTCCTTCTGATGTAGAGTAAAATCCAAGGCTAAATTTGGGGTTCAGTTACACCGACAAATGCAGTGACTGGCCCTTAGTTTCCCAATGCATTTCTGTCATTGTGCCCAACCTGATCACGCCCCACGCAGAAGAGGTTAACATCATATTATGAGATGGACTGATGAAGAAAAACATAAATAAACCCCTACGGAAATCACAAAAATCCTGTGTTTGGGCATGAACCTGGTAGAGGTGGGCTGTACTTTCAAAGGGCAGAGAAAAACCAAAAGCAAAACCAGATAGTTTGTATCAGAACTATTGTAGGCAATACAACAAATATTTCCAAACCTTCTGTGGCCTTCAACCTGAAGGAACTCAGGGTACTTTGCAAACAAAATACAAATAACACCTCTAGCCTTCTGCGAACGATCACACCGCACAAGGTGATACGGATCAGGGAGTTTTGGGCACAATTGTGAGTCAAGCTTTGCTACCTTACAAAAGATCTTCCAAGGCTCACAAAAAACACTCAAACCCACAATTTCTCATCTATTCCTACCAAAAAACCCAAACCCAACCCACCATTTTAGAACTCCTCTCCAGCCACACACACACTACTCTAAAGGCTGGTTAAGCCTTCAGGAGCACTTGTTCTCTTTCTAAAATGATTGTACGCTCTTGGCACAAGTCTAGGATCTTTCCGTGCAATAAGGAAAAGGAGGGAGTCCCTTACTTACCTGGTAAAGCTTGCATTTTTCCATGTACTGTGGAGTCTAGGAGCTTGCACGGCCAAGAGGGCCACCAGAGTTCTTACAAGGGGAGCCAGACTAGTCCAGTTCAAAAGCAGGTCTGATTTCCTGAAGCGAGCAAAAGCCCTTCCTTCTGAGATCCAGTGTCAAGAGTGACGGGGATGAGGATGGGACTCCAAGCACAGCTAGCCAAGGTGAGTTCCTGTTTTATGGAGGCTAATGAGCAGGGAGGAGCTTCTCGCCAGGGCTGTCCCCTTGCGATCCTTTGATGTCCAAAGGGACAAAGAGAGGAAGGATCTGCAGCAATGGCTGGGGCTAAGGGAAGAAAATCAAAGAGAATTAACATGGCTTTGACATACAGGAAACCCTACAGGGGAAATGCACCTTGATTTACTGCTAACGCACTTTTAAACAAATAGAGACAAGACCAAAAGCATCAGTTGAAGACTTACCTACAAAATAAAAACCCCAAAATCTTAAACATCAAGCAGGCAAAATTTCCTTCTGGCTGTTCCATGGATTTGACATAATTTTCATCTCCAGAGCACAGAACGATTTTACTCTTCATTTCTGGTATCAGAATCCAGACTGTATCGGGCTTGTTCCTTCCCCAGTGGGTGATTAACAGTCTGTGGCAAAATCTCCTCTCACAACTGGGATGCTGCAGCAACGCATTCATTCACCAACAGATGTCTTCTCCACTAAGAGAAACACATTTGATGTTATAACTTTACTTACCTACCCAGTCTCTGCATTCACAGCCCTTAACTGCACAGTTAATTTCCCTACCGTGCTGTTTTTCTACGGCAGGGTCCTCACCGCTGCACCACATCTGTTCTGAAGCTGAGGACTGAGGCTGCTCTACATGCAGCATCTTTTCAGCTGAGCTTTATGAGTGAAAGCTGTTAATTGCTTAATGACACAGCCATGCTCGCGTATCATTTTACCGGCACCAAACTCTTTCAGCTGGCACCTTCCAGGGGTAACGCAAGTGATCCAAGAGTCTCATGATGGATCAGGCACTGGTTTTAGGCCTTGTTCAAGGCACTGCTCCTACTGAAGGAAGGCTGAGCAGAAGCTTGAGCATTTTCCCTTAATTAGTTTATTCTGCAAGTGTGACCATTAGCTTTTGTACTTATAAGCGCTTACAAGTGCTAACAGACAGCAATCAAGTCTCATGCTTCAGGGCACAAAACAGCCAGGACACCTCAGTGAAGAAGGGAGTTCTATGCATTCACATACAGAAATGCCTATACTAACATTTACAGGTCGAAAATGTTCAAAAAGTGGAGGTCAAAAGCAGCGTATCAGTCTCAATGGGCCAGTGCTGGATCCTGCCCAGCAAATTTAGGAGCTCTATTCATTTCAAAGAATTTACTATAAGGCTGTAGCTGATTCACAGTCTATAATAAAGTCTATAAATAAACATTTTTTTTGTCAGTGATGTTATTGGGACATTGGATTTTTAGTCTGACATGCAAAACGCAGTCTGAATTTATTTAGTCAGTTCCTATACCCGAACAACATCCCTTTAAGTTCTGTATTTACTGCTTTCTGGAGCATGCAATGCAAGCACATGTAAAGAGGACAAATAGAGGAGGGACTGGCTCTTTTCAATAGTATATTGAATTTAAGGCATCTCAGTACTAGGCAGGGAGAGAAAAGCCAATGCTTAGTGCGGCAAGGAAGAACGTTTAAAAGAAAGGAGTTGGAGAGTTTGAGAAGTCCTGAGGAGAATTTAATAGTGGGAGCTGGTCCGCTGGCTCCTGGCACCTTTGAAGGACCACATCCAGCCTTCCTGCCATCCCTTTAAAACTGCTGGATAATACAGAAGACCCCAGGCTTTTCTCCTCCAGCTAACTTGGGGACATCCAGGGCTGGGGAGTCTCAGTACCACTGAGGAGAGGACTATCATGTGGTGGAGCAACATCAACTTGTAGCTCAACTGGAGATTATTTATTTATTACGTATGTGGAAAAATAAATCAGAAGGGAAAAGATCAGCTGAAAATCGTACCAAGGTCAAATCTCCTCTGCTTGTACTTGCGCAGCCAGAACAGGATGCAGAAATGCTTTTCTGCTCTGCTACGAAAGGAAAGCCGGCATCAAATCTGCCCCCCTGCCATGCCCTGCTTTTCTAATGCTAGTATTTTAATTGTAGAAAGCAGAAGAGACAACCACAATCAGAATCTGAAAAGGAAAAATAGAACAAAAATTGGGTCATAGTCAAGCTAGCAGCGAGATGGATCAGCATCCCACACCGTTAGAAACTGCACCGCAGCAGCACTGGGAATTTCAGACTCTTCACCTGACAAGAGCGTGGGATGTGTATCATGACTTACTGCTTCTTCCACCAAAGGGTACGAGAGGGTCTCCTGCTGCCACTTCATTTGCACGCTGCGCACCAGCATGTCTAGAGAACACACATTTGCTGCAAGTACTCAAATCCTTTTGGCTTTTCCCAGCTGATCGATGGGGCAGGTGGAGTCATTAATTACCCATGACTAGTTAACAACTAGCTTTCTCCCAGCCATTCTAGTTCCACTGGAAAGGTTTTGAAAGTGAAAAAAAAAGTGAATTCGTTACTATTGCTGGAAAGCGTGGCTAACAGGAGCAATCCCCAGGAAATTCATCACTAGCAAAGGGGGAATTTAGCACATTACCCTCTTGTCCGCCTGTCCATGGAGCACCCTCAGGCAGTTTGCTGGGAAGTCAGAGGTGAATGTGCTAGTGTCTAACAATTCAAATTGGCAAATTGGAGGCTGGGGGTGTGGAAAGGGATGGGAGAGAGCGTGGACCTGAGGTGTGTGAGTCAGTGACATGCACAGCTCTGCTCCAAGCTCATTTACAGCAGCAGGTAAAAATCCTGCTGTGCCCAGCTCTAACAGTAGGCTCTCCTGCTCTGCTGAAGGGGAGGAGGTAGGGCAGTGCAGAAGGGAGGGGATGCGGGCTGACAAAAGCAGAGGCCAAGAGCTTTTGCTTTGCATCTCTTTGAGGAGGTGATTAGAAAGAAACATTCCCCTCTGGGTTTTGTAGTAAGGCAAATGTTTTCTGGCACTTCTCCTGCCTTAAGTGAAAATTTAACCCTTAATGCTCAACACGACTCTGTAGGGAACTGGTCTGCACACATACCCTCCCGCATTCCTACCTTCTGAGCTGGGAGCTCTGGGAGACAGGGTGATCATCTTGCCATCTCTGGCTGCTGTCTGGGGCTCTCGGGCTGCGGGAGAACAGATAACGTGTGTCAGCTAGCAGGAGGCTTGGGCTAGCAGGAGGTTTGGGCTAGCAGGATCCAAGTCTGGAAGCGGCTGCGCAGGATGCACCACCACCTCTGTCCAGGCAGAACGCCCAGGACAGCATCCTGCCCTCAGGGCAAGCTCAAGTGCAAGGCATAAAGTTACTGCCTGGGAGGCTGCTGAAATACAATAGAGTAATTTTTTCACAGAAACAGCCTTGGATTATCACTCGTGTATCAGCACTCGGGTGCAGTAACCAGTAATCCAATCCCCGCTGGCTTCCCTCTGTAGACAGGCTTGTGAGAAAGTGTTATCATATCAGCTTTAATAAAACTGGCCTTAAGTGAAGCAGGGTTGTCTGCCCGAGTTTGCACCAGCGAGAAAAAATAATGTGGAGAAGTGCAAACCGCATCTAAGAGATACTCCCCTCTGAAACGCGGGGATAGCCTTACTGCCATCTCAGCGGGATTCATTTAGCAGATTCCCACCCGGCACACGGAGGCCACAGTCCCTTGGCAGCTCTTTATGAAGGATACTCTGCCATCCGCACAGGATGAACACTGACAATGTGGAAAGACAGCGTGTCATTAGCAGGACCCAAAATAAAATAAACAGATAGCCCTACACTGATAGGTACTTATTTTCACACTTAATTCAAAACATTGAGTGGCCTCAGACTCTCCAGATGGCTTCAGAATCCACAAACCTGTCCCTTAAATACAGGCTCAGCTTGCTCCGGAGCAAACAGGGCCTGATTAAGCACACAGGGCCACGGGGAGGGGAAAAGCCGTGTTTTCCCAGAGAAAAAGCCTGATGAAACTATCGCTCCTACAGCTGTGCCAGCCTCGAAGCACATTGACTCCTTGTCCTTGCTAGTGATGGACATCTCATACAGAAAAAAAGGAAAGAGAAGTGCAGCTCCTCAGGCCAGACCGAGCTGACCGAGTGAACGGAGTCAGGACAGGGCGGCCGAGCTCTGCCAGCGTGGGCACAGCCCGAATTTGGGCACCTTTATCAGCAACTCTCTGTAGGCGGCTACAGGAATGGTAAAAGCCTGCAGAGCGTTTTGAGACCCTCTGAAGTAGTAGTACGTGTCATTTCCTATCATGTGGCGGCATAAGGAACAGTTCTACCCAGCTCCTTACGGCAGCTCACATAACACGGCATTTATTCTGATGGTGGGAAATGGCCCCTTCCCCCCGCCCCCCCTTTTTACAGTAGAGCTTGATTGATTTTCCTGGGAAAATTCATCCGGTGTCTTCAGGCACGTTACACGTCCCGCCCTGGGACCCACGCAAGGGGCCCTGCAGAAGGCAGACCTCTGTAGGGCTGAACACCCCATGCTGAGCCCCAAACTGTTTCAACCCTCAAATCTTCCCCGTGGTCTCAAAAAGCAAAAATCACATTTGGCAAAACAAAACGGTTGGTTGGAGCGGGCCTGTTGGTAACAGCTCAACGCTAATTCCCAACAGGATCCCTGGACGGAGGGGCAGTGTGCTGGGGGGACCGGCCACCTGCCCGTGCCCACCCTGAAGGAGGCTGTATTTCAGCAGGGATGGGATCCGTTTTGGAAGGGGACGTGCGAAAGCGGCTCAGGTAAATGAAAAGTTATGCATTATAAAGTTTAAGGCCAGGCTTTTCCTCTTGCAGGTCTGTGGATTGAGGTATCTGGCCGCAAAGCTGTGCTCCTGAACTAAAGGAAAAAGAGGATGCTCTTCTGCCTCCCCTTCATCATATCCGCCCTCCCCAGCCCGCCTGGAATATGCACCCTTCGCCCAGCAGCTCGTTAGCATTGAGACAAGAAGGGAAATACTTAGCAGCCACTTAACACTGAAGGCTGAGTTTGGCCTCAAAGGCTACAGTCCAGAGTCAAATGCAAAATATTTCTGTCTAGAGCTCTTTCAAGTTT